TTTGAAGCTAGCGATTGACCAGAAACGGCCAGAATTGGCCAACAGGAGATTTGTTGTGGTCCATCAGGACAACGCCAGGCCACACATGTCTATAGTGACTCGCCAGAAACTCCGGGAGCTTGGTTGGGAAGTTTTGATGCATCCACCATATAGTCCGGCACCAAGCGATTACCATGTTTTTCTTGCATTGCAAAACTTCCTTAGTGATAAGAAATTGGCATCAANATCGATTACTAGAGTTTTTCGCCAATAGGGACCAAGACTTCTATGAGAGAGGCGTTATGAAGCTACCTTTAAAATGGCAACAAATTATAAAAACAAAAATATTTGACCCAAATCAGACAATCCGAAATATATTAAATAAAGTTTTGAAGTTCACGTAAAAATAATGGATTTCTTTTTCCCCAACCTAATACAAAGAAAATCTTCTGTACGTGTCAGTGCGAACATTTGTTCGACCTACCGCGCTTGTGTATTAACACTCTTCGTCCTAAGTCCGAGTATAGGTCGGGGTAGCGCGCAAACGACAACTGCCGAAACCTGAGTATAACTCGGGCCTGGCTATTTAATTCCATACGTTTCTGCTGTCGGCTTATTCTCGGGTTTCGATCGTTCCAAATGTTTCATAGAACATCGGATATCTATCCCCCTTTTTTTAAAGTGCTTTTTTCACACTTAAAATCATCGTCAAGGCCAAGGTTTCAAAGTGTTAACGAACATTCACACCTGTGCGTTTCAGATGAACGTCATTAACTTACATTCCTCCTGCACGATGATACTGCTCGGTATTTTGGCATCGACAACGATAATCGGCCTCACGAGTTCCGCACCCTTGTCCTCGTATGAGAGAAGAGACCTGTCGGCCGACCATCCCAAAGTTTTCCTGCTGGTGGATCAGAGAATACCAGAATTGGAGGTACGTTTTCCCGGACGCAACGGTAATTATAATCGACGATATCCGATTTCTACACGGAAAAGAGGATTGGTCGAATTAACAGAATTTCTGGATTTTCTCGTAAATCCCAAATTTGGTTCTTCAAAACCGGAGAAGAGAGAAATGCCGTTTCCTTCCGCCAAAACGCGTCTAATTACACCACGTTAATTCGACCAATTTTTTTTCCGCGTATTCACGTGTTCGTGAGACCTTGCACAAGCAATCGCAACAACAATACTGACAACAATGTGTATCCAATGTCAAGATCATTCTGTCTTGGCGTCGACGCGTGTCTCATCGCGCCGCGCATTGAATTACTCACAACAATATACACACCATCGACCATGGTGTATTAGAACCAGGGATAACGCACACACGTCTTCACACATTCGACGCACCGATTGACCGGAATATTACGGTAAGTGCACGAATGGAGACGCGCCTCGGCGTATTAGTATCGACACGATGGAAGATGACGTCAACGCACATCATATACATGCACAAATGGAACGCGATTCATGAATGGGGAAACGTCTCTCCCTCTCTCTTCGTTTTCTCCTTCTCTCCTTCCCCCTCGCCCCCCTCTCTCTTTCCCTCTCGATTCTGTGGCATATGGAAGATATCCCACGCCGTCATATAGGATTTCCTCTTACTTACCGCGACAACCCGTGCATTTCCCATCTTAGGAAGCGGACGGGATTTCGCAACGCCGCTTACTTTGCCGGCGGGATGGAAGTCGGGACTTATCCATACGGTACAGACTTCCAAAGGATGTTCTAAAAGAACATTCAGGGGACGTCCTGTGTCCTAAGGACGTCCAAACGTTACTGCCCATCCATTTCTCTCCCGGTCTGTTCACTCGTAGGAGTGAATTCATCACCTCATCGGGATTCAGGATTTCGAAGCTCCTCGCGGCACGAAAAGATCACGTCGTCTGTTGCGAGCGGGATTCTTTCTCAAGAACGCGACTATCGCTGCCGCCGTCGCGTTCGAACGTCGGAAGTTGAGTTTCGTAGGCAACGAGAAATCGTCGACATCGTTAACGGTCGAAAAGCCGCTTTCGCGAGCCATCCTCGAGCTACGGTGTAATCAGGTGATTAAAGGTCACAACCAACTCGAGGAAAATAAAAGGGGGAACGCAGCGTACGGTCAAATGATTAAAGGTCGCGATATTTTTCCTCGATGAGCTTTTCGCGACGTATTCCGTATACAATAAGGAAACGTATCTTTTGAGAATTATTAAATATTGAAAAATGAATTTTCCTATTGAATACGGGATGCGTTACGAAACACATAGAGGAAGAATTGTTGCGACCTTTAACACTTTAGCTTCAGAAGGGTGTGTATATACATTCTGAGAAAGTTGACGCTCATTTACGGAGGCGTAATTATACACCGAGAAAAAAGTTTCTTTGGATTTGGTACACGTATTTGCTTGATGTTGGGTTAATATAAACAATAATTTAATGTCAGGTGTCACTTCGTTTTGAATGAAAATGTTTCACTATTTTCTCTATGTATACACCCTGTTAACTCAACATTGATTTGCTTATTTAGACGATGTTTTTATGAACATGTCGATTTGCTAACATCGATAGAAACAAATGAATGTCGCGTCATACATCGAACACATAAATGACGCGCTCAGCCCACAAAAATCTCAATTTATTTGATTTTTGAGACGTGTTGAAGCTACCGTCTTGCGACTGTCGTCCCGTCGTATACAGCTGACGTTTGTCATTTGAAATGCGCTGTAGCTAAAAAGTTAATCATCCGACTGTGCGTGCGCGCGCGTGTGTGTGTGCAGAATACGGTTTCCCTTTCATTTTCTTCGTTCGTCCCTACGTCATTCGGTGGGGGATGATTTTTCGCGTGGCGAAAACGCGCGCCGGTTTTTCACTCGAGGAAGTGGAGATCTCTCGCCGGGTCGACTTTGCGAGCGGACGACTTTGTGTCCACATGTGTGTGATACCAATTTTCCTTCTTTTTTCTTCTGTTTTCAGCACGTAACTCGCGCTCTCTCGTTCAAAGGCGGCAAAGAGGTACACGAGTGGGGAAATTGCGAGCGCGCTGAACGCGGCAGAGCGCATGTTGCGGCGCATTCTCGAGCGTTTTGCCCGCCTTTCAGGGCGCACTTCGCGGACAGGAAAACGGGGCAATAAGCCGGGTGCATGCTACCTACGCAACTCTGTGGCGGAACTCTGTTATTTGCGTGCATTTATTATGCGCCTTTTGCCGAGTTGGTGAATGCGGGGCGCGTCTTCCGGTTTGACGCTGTCCCGAGTTGACTTGTTCTCTTTCGAATTGTTTTGAGTCGAAAAATCAGATTTACTGCGACAGTAAATGAATTTGTAAGTTTCGCGAAGAGAGAGAGAAAGAAAGAGAGAGAGAGAGAGAGAGAGAGAGCGGAATATCGCTACATATTCTTATGGCGGAGGAGGACGTATCCCAGTCCGACGTAACGTAAAAGTGTGCAACGTACTCAACGAGATGCCGGTTATTAAATTGCAGCTATATAAAGTTGGCGCGACGACGACGTAAACTTGAAATTGAAACTTTGTCGCCCTTCTCATGCCCTCGAATGATCTCGCCGTGAATCAGCCGCCATCGCTCTTTCAAATCCGAGAGACGAGCCCCGCTCGTGAGAGCACCTTAATTCCCGACGCACGTCACCAAGGTTGCGTCACCGAAAAGCGTCCGATCGAAGCACCCGAAGCCACTTTCATAGTAATCACGGAATCTTCTTCGGCATCCGCGTTCCAGCCGGCTATGATCGGCCCTTCCCTTCCGTATCACGATGTACGATCGAATCGATCTGATCGCGGAATCGCTACCCGCTCTTTGGATTCCTTCGAGTAAAATTCCGCTCGGAGAGCAGAATGACAGCGCCGAGTCACTCGAGTCGTCGAGTGACTTTTTGCTCACACAGAGTGAACTTCTCCACTCCGGCTCGTCGAGTGCGAATATTTTCATTCGATATTGAAGAACGATTCCGACATCCTCCACCGACACCCCGGAATAAAATTCGCATTCGTGCGGACGAGTAGTCTGCTTTAAATTGAGTTAAACATTCACTCACGCGCGCTTCCGAATGGTGACATTTTCACTTTCACTCGATGAAATCTCGTTCGAAACCGGTGAGGATGAAAAAAAAATTTTTTCAACAGCTTTCAAGAGATTCGTTCCATAAATTTTATAAAACTCGATCGAGCAGAAAAGCTAGATAAGCAGTTAAATATCCGGTAAAAGCGGTTAATTTAACAACGTGAACATATAAAATACACAAACTTATGAAATACTCAAAACAAGTAGCATTTATCTGTACACAGAAGAAATAGTCTTGAATCGATGATAGATATTCTCATATATAACGAAGAATATTATAATATCTTAGGAGATATTTAGTCATGAACAGAGATGCAAGTAATGCATCGATACAAATTCAATCAAATCAGGATGAAAAACCTAATAAGATTATAATATTGCATTCTTCCTTACATATGAGAATATCTATCATTGATTTAAAGACTAACTTTTCGTCCTTGTATGCAGCGAACATTTTTCTGTCATAATCGACCTAATCGCTAATCGTTTCGTTCCGTTGATAATTCAATCAACCCCAGTCAACATGGAGCATCAGTTACATCACATCTATATTATAATTTCACACAATGTAAATGCAATATAATACCAACTCGGCGTTGACCGGGGATGTTTGCCCGTTCGCAGAACGAGATGCTGGATTCGGGCAACGATCTCAGCGCGACTGCGAGACGCACGAAGAGAATCGGCTCTTTGTCGATCGTCAACTCGATGGACGTGCTGAGGCAGAGAGTGCTGCTGGAGCTGGCGCGCAGGAAGGCTCTGCAGGATCAGCGGCAAATCGACGCGAATCGCCGGTTCCTCGAGACCATCGGCAAGAGATCGGTGCCGGAGTACGACGGGCCGGACGCCGGAAGGGTCTCGACGAGCGGCCAGCGGCATGCGGAAAGTCGCTACCGGAGTACAGCACCTGATCAAGCAACGAGCAAGACGCAGGACTGGTTCGAGGAGAACGACCCGGTCTTCCACGAGTCGCAGGACGATCAAATGACCAGAGTATGACTTTTTTTTCGACTCTCCCATAATTTCGTCCCTGATCCTCGGAAAGTCGTCCGAGATAATAGCATGATGCTCACCGCGCTTGGTTACACGCGAACATTCGATCGTTCATTTTGACATCTCGAAAAGGACGGAGTTTTGCTACGCACGGGGTAAATTGCCTTCTCGTGTCCGTTATTAGAACGTACGCGGAGAAAATTGGTATCAATTCAAGACTCGTATTCTCATATATATATAAACAAGAATATATACACATCTTATACGAAGATAAAATTTTGCTTACACGAAGAAACGTTCTGCGTGTCGTTGAAAGAACGCTCGAATTTTGCGTAACAACTTCCGGGATCTTTAATTTTCCACCAACTACCTCCTATCTCGCGTCGTCGCGAGCGTAGACACGAACAACAATTAAAGCCACGTTGGTCTTTCAGGTGCAGGCTAACGAACTGCGCCTGTTGTAACCGCACCTCGACTCGCAGAGGAAGACACCAGAGATCCACCGGCACCTCAGCTTCGCCCTGTCGCGACTTACGCTCCACCACCGTCACCGTTGACTTCTTTCGCCGGCCGTTTCCCTTTCCGTTTGTCCGTTCCCGTTAGGCTGATAGTGTGAGTTCCGGCGGTTACGCGAGGTTTGATCCTGCCCTCCGGCGAGACGAATGCAGACAATCGCGGAATTTTACAAATCGGCGACACAGAGGCGCGAAATACGACTCTCACCGACGAATCAAATTGGGAAATCGCGAGAAAAAAAAAAGAATCCGGAGAAATCACTCAGTATTCGGCTCCTCCCTGTACTCCCTCGCTAATTTTGGCGCGTGCTTATTTATCGCTCGGCCCGGTTGTAATAATACATGAGACATCGGACCGTGTTTGTCCCCCGAAAGCGGGTAGGAACGAGAGAAACGCGATAATGTCATTCGGCGACGGCGCAGATGCGACGATAACGCGTGACCATCGCGTGAAACCGCCAAAAAAATCGTACGAAGCTTCGCTCTAGTAAAAGCTCTAGTCTTTTTCTCACCCATTCCCGCACGCTCTTTCTCCGTTTATCCTCCTGTATCTGTCCTACCTACCTACCTACCTAATTATCTACCTGCCTACCTCTTTACACACGGAGAAAGGCGTAACGAAGCAGTATTATGGCATTGTGATTTCCTCCAAGCTCTTCTGTACTTCGCAATTACTACCTACTGACACTCCGATGTTCTCCGTTTCTCTGTCGTGATACTTAATTCATTAACGAAGCGTCTCCGTCATAGCTTTTATCGATAATACTCCGCGCGACCGGCCGGTCGCGCAGATCGAGAACGTGAGTCGATCACGCTGACCGCCCGCTCTCGTCAACGATAAATGTACAAAACACGTGTGCTAACTTGGTGGGTATCGATAGTCCTCGTCTTCGCGTCTTGCACATGCATACTCGGCCGCGCACTCTCACTGTAAACATGTTGTGTGTGTGTGTGTGTGTGTGTGTGTAGCTTGCAACTCTCCGAACGAAGTCTATTTTCTGCGTGTCGTTTACTGTTAATCGACTGGAGACTGTCGGCAATGCGCAAATCCGGACGCAACTAGCGATCTCTCGAGTGAGAGGAAACCGGATCGGACGCACGCTGGTGTGCGTTTACGTTGCGGAAGACTATCGAGCACCGTACCGGACGTATTAATAGGATCTCCACATGGTACAACGGACGTATTACTTTTGAGAAAGAGAGGGGGGAACAACGGCAGTTTTACTTTACGCGTTTCAACACATCCGCGTGAAATGCAGACAGTACGTACACTTGCGTTTTTTTTTCTTTCCGATTTTAGCGTCGATTGTCGATAACGTTTATGATTGCGTCGTCTACTCGTGGTTATTTGTTTGTCCCTGTGCCATAACGGAAATTCAAGAACAGCGAGTATAAAGCTTGGGCGGAAGTAAAATGTTCGGCATCGTACAACTCATCGCGGTGTCGTGGTATCCTCGCGAAAAGTGCAATAGCGTGTGTATTATTGATATTGTTTCACAAAGATTCGGCGCCGCCATGTGTTCCCACGTGAACAACGGCGTTTCCACCTTCACTCGTTATTATTTCGATGCGTTCCGTGTGATTTTAGGACATTCCGAGAGGTCGAAGGAAAGATGTAGTTATTAAATCTTTCAATGATCTATATCAATGTTAGAGTCTAGAAGATAGATATATTCCACTCTCCGAATGTTTTCTCATGATTAAAAGATTTAATTTGTACGATGTAATCTGTCGAAATGACGAGCGAATATATTGAAATACGTATGTGTATATTGCATATAAACATTGTAGCGATAGAGATTAATATTTATTTAAATGAATTAAAGCAAAGTATAATTTCCCTACCTGCCTTTTGTTGTTGATTCCCTTCTTGTTACAACGTCAGGTCGTAATCATTCAACGAAAATATCATGGTTCTTGTAATCACGTCCTCGAATATTTGTTCAGTGGCGCCTCGTAGCGGAAACTTCAGAACTAATTTTTCAGAAATAACGGGTCTAACGGGAACGTAACAGGGGTTTAAAAAGATTCCAAACGAACACTCGAGGACATGATATGACTAAATGATGGGATCAGACGTACATTCTATTTCTCAAGTAGTGTAACTCAGAGCCTGGTCAGACGTACATTTCTCTTATAACGGATAGACGAGATCCAAGCGAAAACTGGCTGTAACTTCGACAAAATTAATGCCCTCCAGATCGTTTAGGAAGTATTTTATAGCACGAAGTCTCTAGCTTTCAGTAATATAACGATCACAAAATTATTTTTGATTTTCAATGAGATATATACATTTAAATGTGAGAAGGCAATTGATAAATTTCCCATCTCAGCTTTCAGTTTAATATTTTACATTAAACGATTATTTATATAAAAAAATACGATATATATATCTTAAAAAGGAAACATCAAGCTTCTTATACATATATTCATTCGACAGCTAATGTCGTACGATTCATTCGCTTTCCGATCGAAGTCGAAGGGACATTTTTGCAAGAAAGTAGCACGTTGTTTTTTCCAACTTATTTTACGCTATAAAAAAGTATCATACAGTTAATAAGAAGTAACCATATAGTTTCCACCGTCCCAGTTTTTCTTTAAAAAAGTTTATTTCTTATTCATTGTCGATGTTTATGTAATATTCTTAATGATACAATTACAATTACAACATATATACTCCACCCACTTGCCATGAATGGAAATAGCAATCCGGTTTTTCTGTAAATATAAAATTTCTCGAACTGTTTCGCTGTACAGAGTATCACGACTAAAAAATATCATTAATGTACATTTCTCTTTGTGAATTTCTCTCCGAGTTCCTGGCGTTGCGACTATAAACACATTAGATTGTCGGAAGTAAGAAATTATATCAACTATATTTCATTATTTCTACATTATACACATCGACACTTTCGAAACTTTTGTACAAGTCAAACCTGTGCGACAATAGTATCGGTGATGCATGGTGAACACTTCTTTAATTTTCTCCCTCCGATAAATGGATGAGTGATGCAATTAATGCGTGCCCTTTCAGACGTGCAAATGGATTTTTTTATCTTATTAATCCGCAGAACCAAAAGGGGAGGATCTCACATTTCACGTACATTTTGTAAACGAATCTCTCTCTCTCTCTCTCTCTCTCTCTCTCTCTCTCTCTCTCTCTCTCTCTCTCTCTGGCGCGAATAGTTAAAACAAAAAGATACAAAACAAAACAACTCATTACAACATACTATAACAATGAGTCACTTGTAATTTCTAGCTTCTGACGTCACGATCCGATGTGGCTACAGCGAGATGCCAGGAGCTTCGAAGAAACATTAAGGGAATGATGATCCACAAATAATCGCTTGTAAAACTAAAAGTTGTCCGTTATCAGACGCAAGTTATGTCAATAATTTTGACGAATTTCCTAATGCTATATAAACTCCATGCATAAATAACTATAAATCAATAGAAATATGTCAGAGTAAAAAAACTGGACACCGAGTAAGAGAGGATCGAAGAACTCGAGTGGTTATACAGGATGACTCAAAATCGCTGGATTTCAAAGATAGATTCTTTGTTGAATTTTCGTGTTTTTACCAATGAATATGTTGGTAATATTAAGCGCAAAACTGAACTTTCATTGCAATAAAGTTTACACAATTCAGATTTGCATATAATAAAAACGACATTGACACAATACGTAACACGAATCACTGATAATATAGAATAAGATAATATCATGTGCGCGTTCACACATCTCCGACAAAATCGCGAAATGAGACACATCATCAAGTGCGGAAACATCATGAATTCAACTCTCAATCGTGCGTGACAAAATTACTCGCGATTTGTCGATACTTTTACTTAACGACCGGCAATCCGGGCCGAAACAAAGAATCCATCCGTGTATCGCTTCGCACGCGAATTACCCCGTATAACGTGATACGAAAATGAAAAGGACGCGACAAAGTGCCGAACCGTTAATGCAAACTCGGGTAACTTAAGGTCCAGTGTTTGCCTTAGATGATTTCAAATTTATCTAGATGAAGATGTGACGAAAATCCGAAAAAATTACCTTGATGAGATGATTTTGCTTTTAATTTATCTAGATGAAAGATAGGTAGCGCTACTTATCTAAATAATTGTTTAGGTAATATTGTTTCCATGAGAAACTATAAAAATTTATAATAAAAATTACGCAGATCGCGAAATTGCACAACGGTTAAGTAATTCGTCAACGATCCCTCTAAATTTAAGAATCTAATAAAAAAGACCAATAATTCTTGACAGCTCACTAAAAATTGTACTTTTTTGAACGAAATCATTACTTCAGTCTTCTCCTATAAAACCCACATCAGACTACTGTCAGTGAAAGTCTATCTGATTGGCGGTTACGACTGCCGATTCTTGAAGCCTGTCATAATAAAGCGTCATGTAACTAATCTATTATAACTGATCCATTAAGAACTGGCAGTCGTAATCGGCAGTCGGGTCGGCCTTCACAGTCGACAGTTTGATATAGGCTTAAAGTGAATCGATCAATTGCAACAAGCGGTCTGTCCTTTTTAGTTGCACTAATTCAGCAGTGCAGCTAAAAAAACAGACAAAATTGAAATTTGTTGATTCGTTGAAATCCAATCTCTTGTCTGATGTGGGCTTATTTTAACGCATCATGTTATTTCATTCATCGAATTCACTCACTTTATCGAAAAATGAGTTCAGAATATGTACCGTAACATCACTTCAGATAATTTTTAGATGAGATAACACGTTTCTTTTACCTAAGATGAGGTTATTTTGTATCTCTTCCATCTAGATAAAGATAAAGGTGATCTATTTATTCTGGATGATTATTTTAATAATTTTACGTAGATACCGGCAAACACTGTTAAGATCGCAAGAAAAGCGCCGAATGAACCAAGTATACGCTTTGCTACATGAACGCAATCATAGTTTACGAAGATCAAGGACAAATACACTGCCGTCGGACGCGGACGCGCCGACTTTGTCACCACGACTGTTCCAACAGACCTCGAAGATGCCGCCAGTGCCTTTGTAGCTGTGGACCAACTGACCGCTCTGCTCGAACGAATGAAAAGAGTTGGTCAGTTTCACTTGTAACAACGCTACCGTCAAAGAGACAGCGAAAGGATCGAGAGCTGTGAAATACTCACCTGTGTCGACCAGATGTGCACACACTTGTCAAAACTACCACTAGCAAGAAACTTGCCATCCGGGCTGAAAGCTACACTGTACACAGGCTCGGTATGTTTTGTCAATGTGTGTATACAAACACCCCGTTCGACGTCCCATAACCTGACGGTTGAATCGAACGATGCGCTAGCCAACGTTAGATTCATATTCGGGTTGTGAGTGCCCGGGCCAGTGGGCGACCACTTAATGGTGTAGATTTCCTTGCTGTGAGCCTGCAAATCGTGCACCCACGAGTCCTGTTTCATGGACCAGATCTTCAAACTCATGTCGTCCGAGCAACTCGCCAACAAATTGCCCTGAGGATCCCACTTGATTGCGTTGACTTCATTCTGTAAAACGCGAGAGAGAGAGAGAGAGAGAGAGGGAGTAGAAGCAAGAACATACGCGAGTGAACGCGTCGCGTGAGAATTCTCTAACAAGCTTGTGTACGCACTGTGTGTCCCTGGAAGCTCTTGATAGGCTTGTCAACGTTGAGCTTGCACACGTGTATACACTGGTCCGTAGAACAACTGGCGAACGATGTGTTCGTCTGCCAGTCTACGTCTAACGCCGGCGCGCAATGAAAACTGAACTGTTGCGTGCATTGTCCACTTTCAGCGTCCCAGATAATGGTAGTCTTATCCACACCGGCGCTCAGTATGTAGTTACCGCGTTTGTTCCACTTCAAAGCAAAGATCGGACCTTTGTGCTGACCCAAAGTAGACGCCAGTCTACCGTCAGTTGTCCAGATTCTGGCATAACCGTCGTAGCTTCCTGTCGCCAACAATGTGCCGTCACACTGCGACGAATTGTTTCATATGATTAATTTCTATTCGTTACAGCCGCCGTATTGTAGAGGCCAAATTGAAGACACATCCGCGGAATCGATGAGACTGATAAGATATAAACAGGGCTGCCACCCAGTCACACCGAAATGTATATAAAACGCCTATATTTTACAAATTTAACGGCAGCTCGGAAGAGAAGTGACTCACCTTGAACGGCAATGAATTTTTAACTTGTCAAGAAAAGTGAGAAAAGTTGACTCGAGCAACTGGATAGTAGCGCTGGATATGAAAAATCTCAATCCGCCCATCCGTTCGTACCTTCCAATCTAACGACGTGACGTCCTTGTTGCTCGGCACTTCGGTCCCACCTTTTTGAATACAATGGCGTAGAACAAGTTGATTGGGGGCTTGCGAGTTGTCCGACATGTCCCAGATACGGGCGGTGCTGTCGCCAGAGCCAGAAGCCAACAGGTCGGTCGTAGGGTTCCAGGCGCAGATGAAAACTTCCGATTCGTGTCCCCGCAGCTTTGTGGCTTTGCTTGCAGGGATCTCGACCGCGCTCGTGTTCGCACCCGCCCCCGTTCCGGGCTGCTGCTCGTCCACCTCCATCTCGTTCCTGTCGCCACCCCGGTCATTGCTGCTGACACCCTCGTTAGATGTGACAACTGTAGGAAAGCCGACAAGTATTCATCAAACGCACCGAACGATCGAACGACGTTAGATCCTTTGCACATATATGTGGGTGCATACGTGTGTGTAGTGAGAAATCTACTGGAAGCTGCTAAGGGCAACAAGAGACGAAAAAAAAAAAGACTAGAAACTGGAGACTAAAAGCGAGAGGGACAAAGAAGAATGCAGAAGAAATTCCCTTTCTTCGGACCTTCCACGCTTGCACATTGCATGGGAAAGTCTCACGTGTGGTATTGTGCGCCTCTGGTTAACGGACAAATCGATGAAGGACTATGCACTTAGGACTTTCGATGGCGTGACGGACGCTAACGGAAGACGTCTTTCCGCGGAAAGATCGTCCCGACGATCGTCGTGGCACGGATACAAAAGTAATAGGCGATACAATCCGCAAAGTGACCGTTATCCATGGCGGTTCCTTGTTAATCTGCCTGGTTATAAGGAGGTCTGTGAAAACTTGCGATCTTTTTCAGACCAGGGTGTACCAGGCCCAGGCGTTACAACGTTATCTCTCTCTGCGCCCGGCTGATTCGGGCTTTACTTCGGGCTGATTGAAAGCACGAAATAAATCACACGCACAGTGTCGAATGTGTAGCCAACGTCTGAATCGATTACCAAGTTACCTTCTTCCCCATTCGTATCTTGAACCTCCGTCTTCTGCTGTTTCTGCTGATTGATCTGATTCTGCCTGGTGGCGACAACATCCGGCATGACAGCGTCGATAAGAGACAAGGACTCCACCATTCTGTGCTCTGTGCCATCTTCGCCAATCGATATCTCTGCTTCCGTGTATTGCAGTCCTTTCTGCAGTATAGACAGGAGGGCTGCGGGTGGTACTAAGGCTCCATTAATATTACTCTGCGATATGTGCGATTCTATGCCGAATGTGTATGCGGAATGCTGGAAACCTGTGTAGCAGATTGAGCAATCAGGAGAGGTAATAAGATTCAATGCATGCTACGTATACATCGTTGACACCTAGCAGGTTGACGAGAAGCTTAAACAAACAAGAACCGTCGCAAAGATTGTCCCGACTGTAAAGTGACACTCGAATGGTTGAATTCGCAGGCTCCGCTTGGTTTAAGCTCCACGCCACCTGGACCGTAATTTGTTGTCGGTCAAGTTCTCCCCTTGTCACACATTAAGCCGGCGTCTTCCTTACTACATCGCACTTGAATTATCGCTGGAACTTTCGATAAACAATCCACGGTATCTCCGTATCGGCGAATTTAAACTACCGGAATTCTCGTCCTGCTACGACGACGAGAGGTTCGTGATTCTTCATCTTGTATATACGGTAATCGTGATCTACGGATCGTTCGCTGCTTCTCTGGCGCGTCATCCGAGCGCTCTCGAGATTTCTCACGGGGCATCGACTGCTCGCTCGTCGGACCGTCCGACGAAGGTGCGCGAAGAGAAGCACGCGAGAGAGGTTCCCGTGAGCGGAACGAAAAAGTGGACAGGTAAGTAAAGTAGCATCCGCCGAGCGGTTGCGAGGTTATGCGTGGGTTCCATGATCGTACCGGATTCTTGCAGGTATCGATAGACCAAAAAGTTGACTTCATCACTGGAGAAGCTCATCGTGCCTGATATTCACACACTAATACGACATATTTACGTCGGAAGCTGTAAGCTCTACTCAGCACGAACGACACTTCGCTCTCTGGAACCCGTTGTAGATTCGCTACGACCAGCCGCTGTTTGCCGCGTTGACTGTTCCTGGTTTATTTGTTAGGCCCAGCATCAGTGGGGGGGAACGAGGACGGGGAAAGGGTTGATAACGGATAGCGTCGACGCTGGTCACGTTCGTTTCATCTCCTGGAACAGAGTCGTGAGAACAGTCGCTTTTGAATCATCTCGTTATCGTCATTTTTGCCGAAGTTACGGGCCATTCGGTTTCGCGTATTTTTCACGGTGAAATACGAGCGTGCCCGACCCGTCGTTGAGTTTTACTACTACCTCGCGCTTCCTCATCAAGTGGCGGCTCGTAACGAGGGACGTGGAACTACGTTCGAAAGAATACTCGATCTGCTTTTTTCATTGCAAATATACGCAAAGTGCCGTTAGGAGCGGGATCTATTTCGCTGCTGTCTGTTAGATATTTTTAATCGCATGGATAAACGTTACCTTCGTTCCGATGCAAATTAGCGCAGCTGGAAAGAGCGCACTCACAAGTTCCGCGTTGCGAGTGCACTTCGTGCACTTGAACTGCGATAGATGCGCGCGTTTGCATACGAGAGCGAGCGAGAGAGAAGCGACGAGGTGCGGCAAGTGCTGAGGAACAAACGTTTCCTTCAGTTCCCGTCCTTCCTTTTTTAAAGATGGCGGCCGCACGGTGAGTCACTCGTGCGACACCAAGAGAGCGGAGAGGTTGTGAACGGATCGTCAACAGTTGTCAAACAAGCAACGAGACTTTCGCCTCGCCGAACGACTCGACGATATAAAACGAACGAATCGCACGGTCCGGTTACAAGCAGCCGCGCTCTTCTCTCTAATGTAAGCGCGACGCGGCAGGTAACGACTCGTGAGGCGTGTCGAAGGTGCGGATCCAGCACGACGATTTTGGAGCTGTTGACACGATTTTTCTGCCCGCTCGCCCAGGAATACAAGACTTTGATGAATGTCTGAGAGTGATTACGATTCGGCGGACGAGTACACTAGCCTGATGGACGGTCACGTCGCGGAGTCTCGTACGGACGACCTGATCCTGGTCACCGAACGTCGGAAGGGACGCACTAGGATCTCCAGCGAAGAAGTAATCTCTCCGGCAATTTCCAGTCTTTCTCGTTCTAATTTCTCCTCTGTCTTTTCTTCTCAAATCATTCTTGACACGAGAAATCTGTAACGAAGCAAACGTGTAAACAATATTGTTGCGTTAATAACAGATGACGATGCTCAATAGGTGGAAAATGGAGTTCCCGAGGTGAACACCGAAGTATCATGTACGACTGTCACCCGATCAAATACAAGGAGCACTTCCGGTAGTAGTAATCAAAGTAGACTGAGGCATTACAGGGACGACGAAGAGGAAGAGTTAAAGTATGGGGCGGCGCATGTGATCAAACTTTTCGTCCCCGTTTCTCTATGTATGCTGGTTGTAGTGGCTACTATTAGTTCCGTGCATTTCTACACCACTAAGGGAATGTACTTGTGAGTTTGGAAATGAGCCTTCACGAAACTATACTTGGTGTGTGTACACTTGTCTGGGACAAGGCGAATTGATTCGTTGAAATATCTTTTCCAGAGTATATACCCCGTTTCACGAGGACAGTAACGACACGAGTACCAAAGTATGGCAGGCGTTTGCCAATTCATTGATTCTCATGAGTGTCATCGTGTTCATGACTGTGATACTTATTATTCTTTACAAATACAAGTTCTACAAGGTTATACACGGATGGTTGATCATAAGTTCTTTATTGTTGCTTTCTATGTTTTCTATGTTGTTTTGCGAGTGAGTATTTAAAAGAGAAGAGAGCGTTCTAACACGCGCATCACTTGTACATAAGTCAGCGTTTGCGAGAAAGAGAGAGAGAGAGAAAGAGAGAGAAAGAGCTGTAATTTGTTTTTACTTACAGGCAAGTGCTGAAAGCGTATAACATTCCGATGGACATGTTCACGTTAAGTATAGGCTTGTGGAATTTTGGGGTAGTGGGAATGATATGTATCCATTGGCAAGGGCCGTTGCAACTTCAACAAGCGTATCTGATTTTCATTTCCGCCCTAATGGCACTGGTTTTCATCAAGTATTTGCCCGAATGGACGGCCTGGGTTGTGTTGGGTGTCATAAGTGTCTGGGGTGAGTCGTTGGTCTGTTTTTTTCAGCCGAACTGGCTGCACTGCTTCAAGAAATTTACTCGCACATCGAAAGATACAAAGCGTACGTACGAGATTCTCACGCTGCAGTGTGCGTAAATTTCTTGGACCACTGCAGCCAGTTCAGTTGAAAAAAACCGGACCGTGTTTTCCAGGCTGAAATTTGTGAAAAATCGACCCGCTTATTTACGACATTCCTTTCTGCTCAGATCTGATTGCCGTTTTGACACCGAAAGGTCCATTGAGGATACTCGTTGAAACAGCGCAGGAACGGAACGAGTCGATCTTCCCTGCTCTCATATATTCGTCCACAATCTTGTACACATTTACCGTAACTTACGCCGGATACGTCCAGGCAGCTACGATGGCCGGCAGCGACGCGACGTCGGGAGACACCACGACGTCTCCCACGCGGGATCGGACGGAGAATCAGCACAGTCGCGCGTCCGGTGACTCGGAGGAAGGTGGTTTCACCAATGAATGGGTGGAAACGCACGGTACGAGTCACTGGTAAAAATTACACGTCGGTGTGATTCCCCAAGGCTGTTGTGTTAAATCAACTGTCCCGTTCACGCACGCAGGTGAACGTTGCGCGAGACGCGCGCAAGAAGTGCGCGAGAACGTCGACACGACCACGAGGGAGACCACCACGAGGCAGCCGGACAATTGCCCGCCGATGCCGATTGCCGAGGAGGAGCGCGGAGTCAAGCTGGGCCTCGGCGACTTTATCTTCTACAGCGTGCTCGTCGGGAAGGCGTCCAGTTACGGCGACTGGAACACCACCTTGGCCTGCTTCGTCGCTATTCTCATTGTACGTATCTCACCGTGAGTTCTGACCGAGAATTAAGGGTGAAAAATCGCAGGCACGTGACATTTCTTGAAACAAGAACTCTCGTGTCTCTCCGCTTCTCAGTATTGGGTCGCATTTAGCGACACGATGCGACACAAGCATCATCCTGTTTTTGTTCCTCATTCAACTTGGAACAAAGACCATAAAGCAATGCCTGTGTCGACTTGTGTCATTAATGCTCGTTTTTCTACCATCTTGATTTAAATCTAATCGTCCATTAAAAACAGACACAAATGGAAAACATTGCTTACGACAGCGTTAACGAGAGGAAGACAATACCGATTTTTAATTACTTGTTCTTAATCAAGTAATAACTGATACACCTCGAGACTATTAAGTCTAGATTCACTCTTCTTGAAATATGTCATCTAATACTTGATACCTTGTTTTTGTACTTACTGTACAAAGTAAACGTGTCTCGCTCGCTCGTTACAGGGCCTCTGTTTGACGCTCCTGCTGCTGGCTATATTCAAGAAAGCGCTACCCGCGTTACCGATTTCCATCACGTTCGGCTTGACTTTTTACTTCGCGACGCGTGTGATCGTCGCACCGTTCGCAGACAGTTTAGCGAGCGAACAAGTGTTCATTTAGAGATCTAGGCATGATAAACATTACATTATTATTGAGTATAATT